TCATTTGTTTTGTTAGTCAAAAAATACTTTGTTGTTTAACTTGTTTTTCAACTTTAGGAATTATAATCATCTACTACATATCATTTCAGCTAAATTCCCAGTGGCTGGGTGCCTAAATATTATTTAGTAATAACTTGTTTAAGGAGTGTTGCTTTGACTTAAATAAAAAGCTGCTAAGAGATCTAAAGTGCAGACACCTGGATGTGCCTTCTCATACCTGCAGTCCCCCTGCTATGCACAAATGCCAAGCTGTTCAGACCAGGCAAAGTTTCAACACTTTCTGGTAGTGTTGTAGCTTGCCCACCTTTTCCTGACTTATGCACATTCCTGTTAGCAAATTAGGGAGCCCATCATAGAGGTATGCCAATACAAATGAATGGGAGGAAGAAGGCAAGTTCTGACACTACTAGGAAGTGTCAAATCATTTGCCGACAAGAGCAACCTGGAATTCAGGCATAAATGAGGGACTGCAGGTTTCTGCGTTTATTTTATATGTAGATACCTCTAGATGCATGTAATTTATACTTGTTACCAGATTTTTTTATGTCATATACACGCAGTTGAAGATACAGCCGAAAGACACAAACAGCAAAGAAACTGAAACCTATATTTGGCCTCACATGCTAATGCTTACATTATACAAGGTACAAGAGTAGCATACATACACCTATAATGTAATACGTTACCTTGATGAGTGGAAACATCACATTTTGGTATCTGAGAGCAGTGCCCAATTCGGGTATTTGGATCAGTAGTGAAACACCATGGAGACTCAGACCCATCAGGATTTCTACAGAAATTTTCTCTTAAGTCCCTGAAAAAACAATAAAAATTATAATACCCTGTTGTATTGGAAATGTTTGTATTATATAAATCATCAATAAACATTCTTTATTTATTTTTTTTACATTTGGTTAATATATATATAGGTTAGATCTATATTATTTAAGGTTTGAAACTTCAGATGCCAATCCACTTTTCAAAGGCATCCACCTTGAATTTTGGGATGTCAACTAAGGGGTCTATTCACGAAGCAGCTGAAGGATGTAGCCGTAGCTTTGGCCGATCCTTCGGCTAGCTTCGGCCCCAGGGCCCCTTCGGTTCAGTAGAACAGAAGGGCTGCTATACGGGCTATTCACAATAGCCCGTACAGCTCCCGAACTTGGCCGAGCGGCTCAGTCGAGCCGAAGGCATATGCCTGGGCTCAGCTGAGCCGCGCTGAAAGCTGAAGCTAGCTCCACCCAGCCTGCTTCTTACGGCTGGCTCCGGCCACTTGCAGATAGATCAGCGTCCCTGGTTACCTGCTAACCAGGGACACTGATCTCCAGACAGCAAACTCTCCGGAGCGCTCCGGGAGTCTCCTGCTCCCAGCCGCCCAGGAGAGAAACACTGCTTTTTCTTTTCTTCCTTTCTTCTGACAAGGAGCCGTGTCAGAATAGAAAAAAAAAGAAATTTTGCCCATAGGAATGCATTGCTAGATTCCTATTGGCTATATCAATTTGCAACAGCCAATAGTAAACTAGCATTGTACCCGCCCTCTGCTGCAGTTCTCCATCAGGTCCATCAGGAGAGGGCGGGTACAATGCTAGTTTACTATTGGCTATTGCAAGTTGAAATTGAAAATAGCCTCTGAGGGACCCAGCAGAACAGCCGAGCCGAATGCCGCTCTGCGGCATTCGGTTATTCACTCACTGCTGTTCGGCATCTATAAGAATAGACCGAACAGCAGCTAGTAGCCTGCCGGAGGTTCGGCTTAGCCAATCCAGATGTGGGATCGGCTGAGTCGAACTCCTCCTGCACTTCGGGTCGGCCGAACATGCTGAGCATGTTTGGCCGACCCGAAGCCACCCGATGTACGGCTGATTTCAGCCGATATACGGCTGGGATCAGCCGTACCAGCCTGAAGTGAATAGACGAACAGCGTTGGGCTCACTTCACTTCAGGTCGGTCTTTCACTCGGCTGCCTACGGCAGCTTAGTGAATAGACCCCTAAGTGCTGAAATGCAGAGCTCAAGTCAAAGATTGCATGTTTTGTGCATACGGGTTGAAAGCTGCCTGAACTCACAAAAAAAGCTTTGCTGTCATTCAAGAGTAAAAGTAAAACTTTTTTTATGTGACAGGCTTATTTAAGCCTCCAGTAATTCACTAGTACTGTTGCAGAAAGCTCCCTAGAAACTATATAATCAGGTCCCTCTACACCAAACCAATGTGCTTTGCCCTGATTAGTGTAGATAAGTATTCAACAAGGCTGCACTGAGACTGAACTTGTTTAACATTGTGAAAGAATTCCTGACACTGGAAGAAGTGGACAAATATATTCGTTTGTCTACCTAGTCAGTGGCTATTGGTCCTAGCACTCTTTTTGACAGATTCAGATAACAAACTATAGTTGGCTATGTGGGATTTCAGACAGCAGAAAATTAATGTTTTTTTCCTGTCAGTGAAGAATAACAGCAGAGGTCAACTTACAATAGTTCAAATTGTAACACTTTAAACAAATCTTGAAATCAAAACCTAAAAGCACCAATGTCAGTGTTCCTTTATGAAATGTAACATTGATTAATGGTTTTTGTAGCTTATTTAATACTGGGATTTTTTTTCTTTTAAACTTTAATTTTTTTTAAAGAAGAAATGATTACAAAATAGGGCCAAACGGTGGCCATTACAAGAAAAATAACATTGCACATAAACATTAATATATAAAATACAAGACAGGGATACAGTACTAGAAGTGAAAATACAACCGCACATGAATCACTCAATTTACAGAGGTAGTACATGTAACACTGAGTAAAGAGTAAGCAGGAAACATGAGAAGGATAAGCAGGTAAAATGAGGATTCCCAAACTTAATAATGGGTTATTAAACCAACAAAAAACGGAGGCATAAGAAATAAAAGTTTAGTGAAGTAATCTAAAAGGGAAACAAGGCAAGGGACAGAGGGAAGAAAATTAAAAAATAGAACAGAGGGTAGGTGAAGAATAAAAGGGAGGAGTATACTACAGGTTTCAGAAAAAAAAGGAGAGAGGTAATGAGAGGAAAGGAAATGAGAGATACCATTGGAATAAATACATTAAGATAAATAATTCAGGTATTGGAAGTAAAATTGGGATATTGTTTCAGTTAATAGATGCGTCCCTGGGTTTATTTTGAGAGATGGAAATCCAAGCATCTAATTTATGGTGAAACTGACATTTCTGTCTATATGCTATGTAATGTTCATATGTGCAGTAGGAAGAAACTTTATGGAGAATTTCAGATATTGGAGGGATGTTTGGTGTGTGCCAATTACGAGCAATAAGCACTCTTGCTGCAAGGTATGTGATTTTTTATAGAGTACTTGAAACACAGCGCTAGAGATAAAGTCAACAAAATATGTGTAAATATTCACAGATTGGGTTAAGTGATCAGTGGATATCAATGTATAAATTATGTGTATTCGAAACAGTCATAAAAAGTAAACGAAAAAGATGGTTTGTATCACTATGTGAACAACATAAAGTGTAGCCTATGGCTAATAGATATAAATGACATTCAAACGTAAGTGAATAATCGTGATGAACTTAGATGACAAAGAATAAATAGTAAAATTGAATAATAATAAATAGATAAAATCAGCTTCGATTAAGATATTTCTCTTTTTCTCTTGTCAAAGAGGCTCTCTTGTTTATTAACTGACAATGACCCAATAAAACCTGTGCACTTTGTGAGGGACAGTATTTATATGGGTTAATAGGCAAGTGGATATTCAGGAAAAATATTTGTGTTTCTCAGGCCAGTAACAGATATGTAACCATTATCTTAGTTATTACATTAGACTTGAGTGGTAGTGATCCTCATTGCTGTTCTGCTCTATTAGTATTATGACTTATTATGACTTATTAAAACGTATTAAAACTTTTCTTGTCCCAGCTTCATCCTAACCTTCAAGATCCAGGTATGGGATATGGGTGTGTTATCACCCAATCTGGGGTGCTTTCATGTGGAGAATCTGTAGGAAGCATGTGGCAGTGGCAAAAGCCAAAGTATGTCACAGACACCAGGTTGTGCAACAGATATTTCCATTAGGATCCTGACAGTTTTAATTAGCTCTTGGTAGTCAAACCCACCAGAGTCAGTCCTGGACTTACCTATTAACTAATTCAAGTCATAACCTTTATGACAAGTTTAATAGTAAAAAATATATACATTACAATTATAGCAATATACATTTTTTGTGAAGGCATGCAAAAGTTCCTTTACATGCACAATCATGATCCATTAACCCATCTAGCTCTGACTGTGTACTATTCAATGTGGTCCAAGTTTGCTAATCATGATGAACATCAGAAAAAAATGTTGCTGTTTTGCCGCTTGTTTCCATGAGGTGCTTCCCCAAACGCACACAACAAAAACACTTTTAAACTAAGCTAAAATTTAAAAAAATCGACATATCACTGGATCACTAAGCAATAAAATGCACATGTGCCAAGTAAAAAGCATATTAAATTAAGCTGTACACGATTTTTTCATATGAAATGTCAGTGAGCATACAAAGTATTTAACACTTCAATCTATTTCCAAGAACCAGCATAGCAATCTTTTATGCTGCCTGATGCTTGAAATTCTCGGCCAGCATACAAGTTTCTGCACATGCACAGAATGATATTCCCACAGTTCATTGATGCCTATTACAAACTTTTTTTATTTTAGGCTCACCATGAATTACAGGGTAATTCTACTTTCCGTACCCTGTACTGCCGTGTAGCGCAGCCCTGCACTCTATATTTTGAAATTCACTCACAAATGGCACGGTGAGTACTTCTGACCGAGCTGAGCAATGAGGAGCACTTCTTCGTAAGAAGTGCTTCCTTTGGTCAGCGTGGTCAAATAAAAAAAATATAAATAAATACAATTCTATTTAACCCTTTATAAAACCTTAGTTTATCATAGGGGTCTATCCACTAAGCTGCCGTAGGCAGCCAAGTGAGCGATCGACCTGAAGTGAAGTGAGCCGAACGCTGTTCGGCTATTCACTTCAGGTTTGTATGGCTGATTTCAGCCGTATATTGGCTGAAATCAGCTGTACATCGGGTGGCTTTGTGTGGATTCGGGTCATCTTTGACTTGAGCTCTGCATTTCAGCGCTTAGGGGTCTATTCACTAAGCTGCCATAGGCAGCCGAGTGAAAGACCGACCTGAAGTGAAGTGAGCCTAACGCTGTTCGTCTATTCACTTCAGGTTGGTACGGCTGATCCCAGCCGTATATCGGCTGAAATCAGCCGTATATCGGGTGGCTTCGGGTCGGCCAAACATGCCCAGCATGTTTGGCCGACCCGAAAGTGTCAGCTAGCTCCGCCCAACTGTTTTCTATTGGCCAACGGTTCTGCGGCGGTTCTGCTGCTAGTATGGACCTGATGGAGAACTGCAGGTCCCCTCTGCTGATTGACAGCAGCAGTGGGCGGGTGCAATAGCTAGTTTGCTATTGGCTATTGCAAATTGAAATAGCCAATTGGAATCTAGCAATGCATTCTTATGGTGAAATATTTTTTTTTTATTATTCTGACGACAGTCAATGGCTCCATGTCAGAATAAAAAAAAAGAAAAAGCAGTGTTTCTCTCCTGGGCGGCCGGGAGCGGGAGACTCCCGGAGCGCCCGGGAGAGTTGGGCTGTCTGGAGATCAGTGTCCCTGGTTAGCTGGTAACCAGGGACGCTGATCTCTCTGCAAGTGGCCGGAGCCAACCGTAACATCACGGCTGGCTCCGCCCAGCTGTCAGAAGCAGACTTTCGGCCGGCCAATGGCCAGCCACCTCGGCCAGCTTCGGCTTTCCCCTC